AAGCTGCGGTCTCTCTCCTCGGATCGTAATTCGTCTCGCTGTTCGAAGCGCTATGCAAATTGGAAAGCGAGCAAAAGAACATTCGCGCGGCTTTTCCCCTTTGCGAAGAGGCGATCGCGAACGAGTCTCGATGACGAGGCTCGAAACGTTCGAAGCGAACGTTTGTAACGTAAAGGTGTGAACGTGTCACTGTGAAACTCGATCCTCCGTTGCAGAAAGGGGAAAGCAACGAGGAAGAACCGTGTAATCCAGCGAGCAAATATCCTACAGGATAGGACGAACAACCGTGTTTACCATCGGTCATCCCAAGCCGCGAATAACGAGAGGATCCATCTGACGCGACGAAAACTCCTCGTGGATCCCCTCTTTCGCTTCTTACCATGATTCGAGCATTCAGAAGCTCGACTACCATCTGTCCACGATCGTGGCCCTTTGAAGGAATGAAAAGACCGAGAGACCGGCACGAACCGCTTGATCGACGATTGAAAACCGCGACAGAGATCGTATCAGCTAGCTTGCTCAATACTGAGACTGAGCAACAAGTTACGGGCTAAACACCATAACGAGCGTCTTTCCGTTTCTTACTCGTCGATCGATATACCATAAGAAGTCTAATCATCTGAAAATCGCCGAGCCTCGCTTGAAACTCTCCATCGATCTATCCTCGATCCTTCTCGCGTGGTACAACAACAGGTCTCGCGTCACACACAGGTGAGTCGCGACAGGTGTGAGTCGCGTCAAAAAGAAAAAAAACTCGTGCAAAGCGTGCGAGCGTCGCGCGAGGAAGGGTGTAATTTCAGAGGAAGGGAGGAAACGTGTGTCACCGGGGAAACCGGTGGAGTGGATGTACCGTGACGACGCGTTGACTTGCCACGGATCCCAGGACGTCGGTCGTGGCGTGCACCGACGACGGAAAATCGTGGTCGAATTCCCGGTGAAGTGAAAGCCGAGTGTGACGGTCGGTGGTCGACGGAGGTGTCGTTGCGTAAACACGGCTATCGATATCCGTTGAAAGCGGCGACGATGGAGACGCGCGCGATGCTGGAACGACCCGGTGGTCCGGAGTACCGTGCCAGTACTGGTACCGTGGAGTTTGTTATCGAGTAGCGGCGAGAAGAGAGGAGAAGCGGGCAGGGTGGTGGCAGCTCCGCTTGGCTGACAAGTAGACAGAGATGGTATTACGCAGGCGCTAACTTGGCTCGCCTCGCGGCGGCGGCAACCCTTCCACCCTTCCTTGACAACCTCCCCCGATAACTCGAGTGTTCGGCCACCCTACACGGCCAGGCGATGCCACCTACACCGTCGACCCATCCTTGGAACGCCTTATCTGCTGCGACGCTCATGTCCTGCTGCCAGCCACCCGTGCCACCACGGTTCCACGGATTAATTAACGAGCACGAAACGCACTTCGAGCGTTCTTTCTTTTCTTTGTTTAAATAGACAGGGGATGGTGGGCTGTGTGCTGGAATTTTCAAACAGGCGAATTTCCTTTCGACACACGCGATACGCGCGACGTTTGACGCTAATGCGATTCTCGCGACGATAATCAAGCGCTGAGAAAAGTAATCAGCGAGTCGTTCTTTTCCTGGTTCCTTTCGGTCGTGGAACGACTTCCAGAGCGACTAGGAACGTTTCTGTTCTCCTGAGATTGGGCGAACAGGATTAAATTAAAAGTTGCTCCTCTCTGTTATATTTAAGAAAGAATTCTTTTACGTTGTACTTATAAGAAATTATAATTGTGGAGTGAAAGAATTGAAATTATACAATGTAATTGAGAAAAATTGAAATTGAAAACTGAATACGTGATAAATTAAGATTGGCGGATCGTTTGCGTGACGAGGATGTTGTTTCTGTTCTGAGATTGGGCAAACAGGATTAAATTAAAAGTTGTTCCTCTCTGTTATATTTAAGAAAGAATTCTTTTACGTTGTACTTATAAGAAATTATAATTGTGGAGTGAAAGAATTGAAATTATACAATGTAATTGAGAAAAATTGAAATTGAAAACTGAATACGTGATAAATTAAGATTGGCGGATCGTTTGCGTGACGAGGATGTTGTTTCTGTTCTGAGATTGGGCAAACAGGATTAAATTAAAAGTTGCTCTCCTCTGTTATATTTAAGAAAGAATTCTTTTAAAAAGAATTAGAGGATTCTTTTCTATTGTAATTACAAGAATCGAAATTATATATAATGTGCAAGTGAAACCAAATTTGAAATTACGTTGAATTACGACAAGTAATAAACGTAATTTCAAATTTTTGCCGTACGATCGCAGGTATTATTTGATAACTGGAAATTCTCCAGTCTCCTCTTGACGAAACATTTTTGCCAAAAAGCTTCTCAACGCGGAGGAGCATTATTTCTTATAGTCTGACATTCCTCGCAGTGTGATGCGGGATTTCTCGGCAGTAAATATCGGACAGGAGGAAGTTCCTGGGGAGGATCTTAAACTCCTTACAGGGAGGAACTGTGAAATAAGAAGGCGAGAGCCGAGGAAATATCGCGAGAAAGTATCACGAGCGATCTAAATTACCGCGCTTCTTCGTTCGAGAGAGGAGAGAGGAGGGAAATAGAAGGGCGAAGGAACGTTCGAGTTTGGATTCGCGAAGAATTACAAGCATCGAATCAACTTTGTCACTGGGAACTGTTTTCTCTGGATACTTGGTGCCAGCCCTTCGAGGAATGTACGCTCCCTCAGACTTTTCCACGCCTTTCCCATCCTTCCCGCGGGAATCCTGCAAAATTTGATCGACTCGATTCTCAAGACTCGAGACGCCGGTAACGTTAACTACGATTAACCTGATAATCATTCCTTTAGACTGCAGCTGCAACTACCGGTCGAAGAAGATTGAGAAAGGCGCGAAAGAAATTTCTATTATTTTTAAAATATACCTCTGCGAAACTTCGCTTTCTTCACTTTTGCTCGACCGAGCCAGAACAGGTTTTCTTTGGGCAATTCGCATGGAAATTCAAATTCAAAAATTTGTCATTCTACGGATACAGTTTCTGATTTCTTAATACATTCAACGTTCATTTAAGTATATTTCTTTGAAACGTACACTTCCTTTATGAAAAATTACAAATCCACGATACTGACGACTCTAGTGACTTTAGTTGGAAGAACTGGTTCGTCCAATGATAAAATCCTCGCTAAAATCCAACATCTTGACAACGACAAAAACACGGGGAAAGTTGGCTTACTCGACGAGACCTAATTCACCTGATTTAACATTCGACTGGAATTTCACGACCACAGAATCGGATTTCTGGTGGAGAGAAAGACTCGACAGTTAACCGAGACTCGATTATCCAAATTCACTATTAATCCGATTATGGCACGATTATGACGTGAGGCAAAGCTTCGCGCGTAAAATCTGCAAAATTTCCCGCGTGTTAACGCGATGAAACTCGGCCCTTGGCTTTTTCACTCGACTCGTTACGCGATTTATCGTTCGCGGCCGGCCGTGAAAACGTTGCTTGTTGCTTTTTTCCGCCCCCCTCCCTTCGTCACCCGATCGATGTCACAGCAGCGAACAAACAACGATCTCGTTCGGGGTGGTTTAAAAAAAAAAAAAAAAAAAAAA